GCTGCTGCTACTACTTCTAGTACTACCACCACAACTCTATCAACCACTACTCCATCAACCAGAAAGAGATGTAGTGGAGAGTTCTTCACCGAAAGACATACATGTAATCGACGGTTCTTTGGACGTCCGCCGACTAAAATGCATGGTTTTTCACAGCAAAGTTCAACACATGAGAGGTTTTCCTATAGCAATGCACAACAAGCCGGTTCGAAAAACCGCCTGTTTCCGGCGGTCTCGTCGGTTAAGAGATTGGGTAACGTGCAAGCGGAGCGCATCCCGACGAGCTTGGATAGACTGCACGAGAAGCTTTCACAAGGATAGACAACTCGAGTTGCACATCTAATGAAGCACGCAAAGGCCTTCAATACATGCTAGAGTCAGTATTGCTAGAAATGTCCGCAATCATACAGTTCCTTTGCAGTGCAACACTTCGCACCTTTGTGCATGTTGAAAAGCAGAGCCGGCAAGTCGTGTTGCATCTTCTGCAACTAGTCCATATGATGAATGTGCATAGCGTTTTCGACCTGCGGGGCTCGGCATCGTAAGCAGCGTTTTTAGGTGCCTGCCGAGATCGCCCCGAGCCCGCCAACACCGTCAGGAGGCCTGCCCATGAAGACTATGTTAACACCGAAAGAAAGTTCATGCTCTTCATCGCTACGAGTTGCTGTTGCTAGACAACAGCCTTGGACAGAAGCATCCGCAAGAAACAAGCTCCCTTTCATTTCTGCCGTGATCGATGGAACTCGCATGTCATATCACTTCAAACCACTTCAAAGTAGGCAACTTCGAGTGATCTCACATGTCTGCCAGGCAAGCACCGTGAGGGAGTCCACGACGAGCGGACACCGCGGGAGGTGCTAATCACGAATTCGATGGATGAGGACTGCCTCGGACACACCTCTGAACCGCCTGACTGCATGGTGAGGGTGGGAGGGTCCCTGAGTGGACAAGCGCGGTTTAACTTACAGCCTTTCTTGTATACTAGTTATTAGACCCTAAACCCTAAACCGCTCACATCCAAAAGGCCCTCAAAAAAATCTTAAATCCTACATTACAGCATGACAACATGGGCTGGGTGACAAAAAAGGCGATTTGTTTGCAGGAGCTGCGGCATCCTGAGGCTGCGGTGGTCTCCGATGAAAGCACCAAGGATCCGTCGAGTAGCAAGGAACCTGGTTTAGGGTTCAGGGGATCGGGTTTAGGGTTTAGGGATTAGAGTTTAGACGTCACAGGCTCTGTCGTGTTCCGCTCAGCGCTGCAATTGCAGCTTTGTGCAGGATAGCCTCAGCAATGCTGATGAGGCAGCGCTTCTGCCGGAATTGCCGGACTGTGCATGCCTGATCGATCATCAGCGGGTCAGGCAGCTTTGGACGAGCCCCGCGGAATTCGCGACCGCCGCTCGAAGCTGCAAGAGGTCGAGGCAGGGACAACTGGGCCAACGTCGAAGGTGACTGCAAGTTGGTGCAATGTGCTTCGTCATGTTTTGTTGCCTGTCCCCCTGCCACCATCGCCCGCGGCTCGTGAGCAGGTGGTGCAGCGCCGACGTTGCTGCCTGTTTTCCGGATGTGGTGGTGGCTAGTGAGGTGCCTTGGGGGAAGCATGACGAGCTCGCCCACAGAAGCTGATGGTTGCAGCTATGCAGTTTTCCAGATCTAACTGTTTGTCCGGACATACGTTCCTGTCTTTCGCTCTTTCGCTGTGTGTTGACGATTCTGCCGAGCTCGCAGGCAGCTAGACCTTGCTGGATCACTAGTTGCTCAGGTTTCACAGTTGCAATGAAAAGTTGCGCTCGCAGGAAGCTTCGTGTTACTGTTACTGATTGCTAGCTGGTCATGTCATGAGCCTGGCGCATTTCCTGCGAGGCTTTGCCCAGCCTTTTGAAGGATTGTTGTATGGAATGCTTGTCTGGCAAGTGCAGTCTTTGAACAGCTTTGGACCTAGATTCTGTACTCAAAAAGTTCGTTTGCGCTGTTGCACTGTGTTGCACTGCCGGCGAGCACTAATGCTCTAGGGAGTCAGGGACTCTGTATAGGAAATTTGCTGTCTCCATCCGCTGCCGAGAATGGTACAGCTGTGTGGCAGTTTGTGCTTCGTCAACGGCAGGCCCGGCCCTCCTAGGAATCATTAGGGTTTAGGGTTTAGGGTTAAGGGAGGGAGCAGGGTCTGCGACTCGAACTGCCATGACGAATTCAAGGCGCACAAATTTGCCCTTAGTTTCATGTCGACGGGGCCAACAGAAGGTCGAGAGGCCGACAGATCTGGCGCCCGGTCAGCCGAGCAGTTGCTGGCCATGGCGCCCAAGAGTGCCCTAGCCTTGGGCGACTCAGAGTCCGGAAGCTGCAACGGGACGCACGCTGCCGCAGAAACTCCCAGACTCAGCCCGGGACGCAACCAGCAAGAGACTGGTTTTGGTCCTGGGTAGGTGAGCTCGGTCTGATAGCCTGCATCAGCAGATTTCCAGGTGGATTCTTTTCAAGGCCTTGCGTGCAATCTACGACGTTCATCATATCAATGGTCTGGTACACTGTGCATGGCCATGTTCGCAGCCTGCAAAATGGTGGGGATGGCCACTTCCGATTCTCGTAACGTTAGGGAAGTTGCCACACCCCTGCCACTGCACCATATGCACAAAATTCGATGCACTCTGGAAGCTGTAAATCGGCGTCCGCCCATACCTTCACAAAGAAGTGATCTTGACGCTCTTCAACCCAGCTCTTCTCCGTTTGCTTATGCTGACAAGTCCGGGCCTCTAAGTGATCTCTGGCCATGCCTGTAGCTTTGATGATGCTGTTGTACGCGAGATGCGTGGGGTTCCCGTAAAGCCACAGTACCCGCACCCGCGGTTGAGCGACCAACGTGACCCTGTTGCAGACGCAGCTGTGGAAAAGGCGGAAGCAGCACTTTTTGGACGAGGTGTATGCAGGGACATCCTGGCCATATAACCCCAATGTATGAGGGTTCATNNTTTCTTAATCAGGCTCCTACATTAGATGCCAAGCAATCCTCGAAAACTTGTCTGCACAGGAGCCCTCACAGCAGAAGCCTGCGCCTCGCCTCGCCTGCCTTGACCTTCACGTTACGAATGCGCGCGCGGGTCGTTCGTTTCACTTCGTCATTTCGCACTTCGACATGGTAGGATCCTTATTATAAGGA